ATGGAGCACTGGGTGTTATGCACAAACAATGAATCATGGAACACTTCATCTAGAACTAATGATGTAATGTATGGGGATTAACATAAGAATAAAAAAAAAAGAAATAAATGAAAAAAAATCTATGTGTCTGTTTTTGTGTCAGTACCATATTGTTTTTGTAGTTTATTTTGAAAACTAGAATTGTGATATATCCAGCTGTGTTTTCTTTCTTATGATTGCTTTGACCATTTGGGGTCTTTCATAGTTCCATACAATTTTTTACATGGTTGTATTGAAGTATAATTAACATACAGTATTATAATATTTTCATGTGTACAATATAATGATTCAACAATTATATACATTACTCAGTGCTGAGTCCTAGAAATATACATTACTCAGTACTATATAAAAGTACACTTAATCCTCTTTATCAATTTCACCCTTCCCCCCACTCACCTACCCTCTTGCAACCAACAAATTTTCTATGTATTTAAGAGTCTGGTTTTATGTCTCTCTTAATTCTTGTTTGTTCATGTTTTGTGTTTCTTAAAATCCACATATGAGTGAAATAATATGATACTAATTTTTCTTTGACTGACTTATTTTGCTTAGCATTATATCTTTTAGGTCCATTTATGTTGTTGCAAATGACAAGACTTCATTTTTTAAAGCTTAGTAATATTCTATTGCATATATATACCACATCTTTATCCACTCATCTATGGATGGACATTTGAGTTGCTTCTTTATCTTGACTATTGTCAATAATGCTTCAATAAACATAGGGGTGGATATATCCTTTCAAATTAGTGTTTTCATTTTCTCTGCATAAATACCTAGTAGTAAGGTTACTGGATTATATGTAAATTCTACTTTTAATTTTTTGAGGAAATGTCATCCTATCTTCCACAGTGACTGCACCAGTTTACATTCCTACCAACAGTGCACAAGGGTTCTCCATATCCTCACCAACACCTGTTGTTTCTTGTGTTTTTTATTTTAGTCATTCTGACAGGTATGAGGGTATCTCATTGTAAATTTGATTTACATTTCCCTGATGATGAGTGATATTGAGAATCTTTTCATATGTCTGTTAGTCATCTGTATATATTTTTTTGGAAAAATGTCTATTCATGTCCCAACCCATTTTTTATTCAGATTGTTTTTTTCTTTTCTTTTTATTTTGGTGTTGAGTTGTATAAGTTCTTTATATATTTTAGAAATTAACCTATTATCAGATATATCATTTGCAAATATCTTTTACTATTAAGAAGGTTGCCTTTCTGTTTCTTGATGGTTTCCTTCATCCTGCAAAAGCTTTTTATTTTGGCGTAGTCCCAATAGTTTAATTTTCTTTTGTTTCCCTTGTCAAAGGAGACAGATCTATAAAAATATTTCTGAAGACAATATCAAACAAATTACTGCTTAGGTTATCTTCTAAGAGTTTTATGTTTTCAGGTCTCACATTTACATCTTTAATCCATTTTGTTTATTTTTGTGTATGGTGTAACAAAGTGGTCCAGTTTTATTCTTTTGCATGCAACTGCCCAGTTTGCCAGCATCCTTTGTTGAAGAGACTTTCTTTTCCCCATTGTATATTCTTGCTTTTTTTGTCATAGATTAATTGACTTTATAAGCATGAGTTTATTTCTGGGCTCTCTATTCTGTTCCATTTGTTTGTTACAGGTAGTAGTCAAAAGTGTATGGTATTGGTTCCATACAAATTATTATTTTTTTAAAGATTTATTTATTTATTTATTTATTTGAGAGAGAGAGAAGGAGAGAGCATGAGCACAGAGATAAAGAGTGAAGCAGACTTCTCGCTGAGCAGAGAGCCTAATGTGGGGCTTGAGCCCAGGACCCTGAGACAATGACCTGAGCTGAAGGCAGACACTTAACTGACTGAGCCACCCAGGTGGCCCACAGATTATTATTATTTCTTCTACTTTTGTGAAAAATGGTGTTAGTATTTTGATAAGGATTTCATTAAATCTCTAAATTGATTTGGGTAGTATAAATACTTTAACAATACTGATTCTTACAATCCATGAGCACTGAATATCTTTCAATTTGTGTCATCTTCAATTTTTTTCATTAATGTTTTATAGTTTTCCATGTACAGGTTTTTCACTTCCCTGGTTAATTGTCTTCCTAGATATTTTGTGCTTGTGTGCAATTCTAAATGGAATTGTTTTCTTAATTTCACTTTGTGCTACTTTTTATTAGTGTTTAGAAGCACTAATGATTTCTGGGTATTAATTTTGAATCCTGCAACTTTATTGAATTCATTTATTACTTCTAGTAGTTTCCTGGTGGAATGTTCAGAATTTTCTTTTTTTAAGATTTTGTTTAAATTCAAGTTAGTTAACATATAGTGTATTATTAGTTTCAGTGGTAGAATTTAGTGATTCAGAAGTTACATGTAACACCCAGTGTTCATTACATCAAGTGCCCTCCTTAATGTCCATAACCCAATTACCCCATCTGTCCACACCCTTCCCCTGCAGCATCCCTGTTTGTTCCCTATAGTTAAAGAGTCTCTTATGGTTTGCGTCCCTCTCTGTTTTTATCTTATTTTATTTTTCCTTCCCCTCCCTTATGTTCATCTGTTTTGTTTCTTAAATTCTACATATGGGTGGAATCATATGGTATTTGTCTTTCTCTGAGTGACTTATTTCGCTAAGCATAATACTCTCTAACTCCATCCATGTTGTTGAAAATGGCAAGATTTCATTCTTTTTGATGGCTGAGTAATATTTTGTTTGTGTGTATAGCACTTTTGCATTTATTGAAATAATCATTGTTTTATTGAAATAATCATTTTTTATCTTTTGTTTTGTAGATGTGGTGTAATCCATTGATTAATTTGTGACTATCGAACCACCTTTGCATCCTTGGAAGAAATCTCAGTTAATCATGGTAAATAATCTTTTAATATATTGTTGAATGCTGTTTGCTAATATTTTTTATCTTTATGAAAAATATTTATTCAACCTTCAAATTAAAATTATAAAAATTCATCATTTTAGCTTACTGTTTAGAAAACAAAAGAAATAAGCCTATGTTCTCCAAATGGAATAAAGTTATATTTTCCCTCCTCCCAACTACTTATTAGGATAGTAACAATCCTTTTAATTTTAAAACGCATGTTAATTTCAGGAACATTTCAAAAAATTGTTTTGGTGACAATGTCTCAACAAAAAGCCTTTCCATTTATATTTCAAAAGCTTCAAATAGTGTCAATAAACTGGCTAGTACAAAAAAAATGAAATACACTGGACTTTTAAAGGCCTTTTGGATTGCATTTAGTAGTAAGCAGGCTGCTGGTGTATATTGGGAGAGGTCAAAAGGCGCTGGGGAAGGGGAAAAGGAGCTCACTTTCCATTCTTGTGTGCATGCAACAAGCAGCAAAACAGCAAAGTTACTCCAGTTAGCTGGTACTCAGCTGTGCTTTCTTCCAGAAGAAGATCCATTTAATAAATTTTGAAGATTTGGGATATTTGAACCCAGGGAAGGATTTGAGTTTCCCTGCTGAGAATCCCCATTGACAGGACTCTCATTACCTTTCAAAATATCAGTACACTTCCAATTGTCCATATAATTAGCTTTCCACAATCTTACACAACCATCATCTCCTGAAGATGCTAGCACTGTTCCTGTTATATTCCAACACACTCGCCAGACCTGGGAATTATGATTATCAAACTGAGCCACTATATGGATTTCAAATTTTGTGGGCCCACCAGAAGAAGTAAGTTCTTTCCTCACAGGCTTTAATGTAAAAATCCTCACATTTTTGGTTGCTATGGTTAGAATATGGAAAGATCTTCCTAAGTTTGGAGCAAAGGCAATGTCATGTACAGGATTTGTGACTGTCATGAGAGTTTCAGCTTTTGCATGTTTCCTGGTATTTTCATTATATTCGAAAATCTGAACCTTGGCCATTGCATTTGGACTACTGTCATCACTTCCTACAGCTATCACGGGGGAATGAGCACGAGAACTTGAAGGGTTCCAAGAAATACAACTACAGCTTAGCTTACATAAAATCTCATGCTGCAGAGACCACTGGCTGAGATTCATAACATCTGGCGCCTCATATATTCTTACTATACCATCTGCCGAACAGGTTGCTAACAAAGATCCATGTGCTTAGGAGCAAATTTCACATCGGTAACGGATGCTCTGCCATCCACTAGAGTTGTCCTCTTAACCCAATGACTCTGTCCTCAAAGTTTATCATTTGATTCTCCTACTATTTCTTCCCACACAGCAGCTGTTTGGTCAAAAGAACAAGAAGCCAAAACCTGTCCAAATTCAGGATGGGTCCATGTCACATGCCACACAGGTCCACTATGTGTCTTCCAGCTAGCGGTACAATGACAATCCCCACTTTCACTTTTATCCCAGACCTTGACGCTCTGGTCCCTGGAGCAGGTCACCCATGGAAGTCTAAAGAGACATCATGGATGAGATCTTTATGGTCCACTGCGATGTGGCGCACCACTAACATGGCTTCCATCTGGCCACGCCTCCTCTGTCTGCCCCTCCCACCACCGAAGAGGGTGGCCCCGAGGTGGGGGGACCACAGCCCACCAGGACCCTGCAGCCAACAGGGCGCGCACCGGCGCGTGAGGTCCGTGCACAACCCGTGCTGCCTGTTTGCTAATGTTTTGTTGATGACTTTTGCATCTGTATTCATTAGGGATATTGACATGTAGGATTTATCAATTTTGTTTATCTTTCTTGGTTTCACTGATCTTTGTTTTGTTTGGTTTTAGTCTCTGTCATTTACTTGTGTTATAATCTTTATTATTTTCTTTTTTAAAGATTTTATTTATTCATTTGAGAGAGAAAGAGGGAGGGAGAGAGTGCACAAGCAGGGGGAGAGGTAAAGGTAGAGGAAGAAGCAGACTCCCCATTGAGCTGGGAGCCCGATGTGGGGCTCTATCCCAGGACATGGAGATCATGACCTGAGCCAAAGGCAGATGCTTAACCATCTGAGCCATCCAGGCACCCCAATATTTATTATTTTCTTCCTTCTACTCATCTTGCGAATTTTTTTTTTTTTTTAGTTCCTTTAGGTATAACGTTAGATTGCTTATTTGATTATTTTGTTATTTTTTGAGGTAGGCCTGTATTGCTATATATTTCCCTTTTATGACATCTTTGGATACATTTTTTTTTAAGACTTTATTTATTTATTTGACAAAGAGAGACAAAGCGAGAGAAGGAACACAAGCAGGGGGAGTGGGGGAGGGAGAAGCAGGCTTTCCGCCAAGGAGGGAACCAGATACAGAGCTCAATCCCAGGACCCTGGGACCAGGACCTGAGCCGAAGGCAGACACTTAACGACTGAGCAACCCAGGCGACCCCTTCTTAAAACTTCTATTACTGAATTTGAAAGATTTTTAACCATTGTACATTCCCTTCCTTCTAGGTTTTTTTTTTATTTCTTGTTTGATTTTGTTGTTGACCCATTGGTTGTTTAGTAACATGTTGTTTAGCCTATACATGTTTGTTTTTCCAGGTTGGTTCTTGTGATCAATTTCTACATTTATACTGTTGTGGTTAGAAATGATGCATGGTATATCTTCAATTTTTTTTAATTTATTGATACTTGTTTTGTGACCTAATATGTGATCTATTCTGGAGAAAGTTTCATGCACATGTGAAAAGAATGTGCATTCTGTTGTTTTTGGATGGAAAGTTCTGTATATATCCATTAAGTTTACCTGGTCTAAAGTGTCATTTAAAGATTGTTTCCTCATGGGCTATCTACCTGGATGATCTATCCATTGATATAAGTGGGGTGTTAAAGTCCCCTGCTTTTATTTTATTAACATTAATTTCTTCCTTTATGTCTGTTAATATTTGCTTTACATATTTAGGTGCTTCGATGTTGGGTGCATAAATATTTATAAATGTTATATTCTCTTATTGGATTCTTCTCTTTATTATTATGCAGTGGCCTTCTTTGTCTCTTGTTACAGTTTGTGTTTTAAAGTTCATTTTGTCTGATGTACGTATTGCTACCCTGGCTTTAGTTATTTTTTTGCTTACATTATAAGGTAATTCTTTTCATCTCCTCACTTTCTGTCTGTGTGTATCTTTTATTTTAATTTCATTTTATTATGTTATGTTAGTCACCATACAGTACATCATTAGTTTTTGATGTAATGTTCCATGATTCATTGTTTTCATATAACACCCAGTGCTTGATGCAATATGTGCCCTCCTTAATGCCCATCACCAGGCTCACCCATCCCCCCACACCCTCTCCCCTCTAAAACCCTCAGTTGCTTTCTCGAAGATCATAGTCTCCCATGGTTCATCTCCCACTTCATTTTTCCCTTCATTCTCCTAATGTCCTCCATGCTATTCCTTATGTTCCACAAATAAGTGAAACCATATGATAATTGACTTTCTCTGTTTGACTTATTTCACTTAGCATAATCTCCTCCAGTCCCATCCATGTTGATGTAAAAGTTGGGTATTCATCCTTTCTGATGGCTGAGTAATATTCCATTGTATATAAGGACCACATCTTCTTTATCCATTGGTCTCTTGAGGGCATCTCAGCTCTTTCCACAGTTTGGTTATAGTTGGACATTGCTGCTATGAACATTGGGGTGCATATGGCCCTTCTTTTCACTACATCTGTGTCTTTGGGGTAAATACCAAGAAGTGCAAATGCTGGGTCATAGGGTACCTCTATTTTCAATTTTTGAGGCACCTCCACAGTTTTCCAAAGAGGCTATACCAACTTGTATTCCCACCAACAGTGTAAGAGGGTTCCCCTTTCTCCACAACCTCTCCAACATTTGTCGTTCTTTGCCATGTAATCTTTGCCTTCTAACTGGTGTAAGGTGGTATCTCAATGTGGTTTTGATTTGAATTTCCCTGATGGCTAATGATGGTAAACATTTATTCAGATGTCAATTAGCCATTTGTATGTCTTCTTTGGAGAAGTATCTGTTCATGTCTTCAACCATTTTTTGACTTGATTATTTGATTTTGGGGTGTTGAGTTTGAGAAGTTCTTTACAGATCTTGGATACCAGCCTTTTGTCTGTAGTGTCATTTGCAAATATCTTCTCCCATTCTGTGGGTTGCCTCTTTGTTTTGTTTAACGTTTCCTTTGCTGTGCAGAAGCTTTTTATCTTGATGAAGTCCCAAAAGTTCATTTTTGCTTTT